GAAGAAAAGCGGCAGGCGAACGAGTTCAAGGCTGAATTTAAAAGATACGACCCATTCATACAATAAACTTCTATGTGTCTATCCACGCCCTACCGTTTGCTACACTTAGTTATCAACCCACTTTCATCCTCTCTGTACCTAACCACAAAGTTTTCCGGTGTTATGGGCAAGAAATAATTAAGGGTATAGCACTTTGGATTATCATGATATATAGGGCACTTTCCTGATAGCCGGGTCCCCTCTAACGTATTGTTCAACAAAGAGTGTAGGAAAGCCTATCTTGGTAGAATAGACCACCGGGTTTATGATGTCCCTTTGACTAGGGTTACAGCAAAATGCAGCTAGGAATGAAATCAAGGGAGTGACTTATTGGACCCGACCCTATCGCTCACCATCCACCTGTCTGCAGTTATCTTCATCCCTAACTCTGAATTTTCTATAAATATGACCTCCGTGAAACCTCGTCCTTCTGCTGCATCAAGTAGGGCGGGCCCTTCTGAGTTCGAAATATTGAAACAAAAACATCAGTAAGCAGAACTGGCCACGTTCAAGAAGTGGCCATTAACCGCATGGTCAGATTTCTACGAGAAGACCAAGATGAAGAGCAGGAGAAAGGCCCTGAATCCTGGGGCGATGCTCTAGCGAACAAGTTCTATTCCAACCTGTGGAAAGAATACGCCCTTTGTGATCTGAAACATTATAAATCTGGAAATGTGAGTACATAGATATATGTTTGGATAGAATATAATCGTATTGATCTCGTTCTCTTCTAGTTTGCTTTGAGATGGCGAACCGAGGATGAAGTAGTGTCGGGGGTGGGCGAGACAACTTGTGGAAATACTAGATGCAGGCACCATGACCCATCTAAATTCCAAGATCGGCCCACTTCTCATGAAAGCAACAAAGGAAAGTCATTGCACACTTTGGAATTACCTTTCGGATATGTTGAACAAGGCGAGGCGAAAGCAGCCCTGGTCAAAGTTGTCCTATGTGACAAATGCGTCAAGAAGATTATGTGGAAAAGAGGAAAGGAGAAAGAAGTTGCGAGTACAGCTGAGGAGAGCCGCCACGGAAAGAGTTCTGATAAGGACCAGCCGAGGAGATATGA